AAAAGCATAGAGTATTTTGTGAAATTATCAAATGGTGTAAACAATGCAGTCAAGCTGTAGCAAATCACGAGAAGCGCTTTCAGTCAGTATTTGAAGCTGGCGTGATTGTCCAAAATGATTTCTAAACAAAGCTGAAAATCAACAGAGAAGAGAGCAAAGAAGTATTTGCTGAAATTTCATGGGTTGGCAATGCCTATCGCAGTTGGTAAATCATGCACAACTCAATCTGATTTTCAGTCCAATTTGATCGAACGCAGTTCTATGTGTTTACCTCCAGGGCCTGATGCCAACAACTGCTGCTGTGACGATTGTGGTCGATTATCGAAGTATTGGGGATAAAACATAGAAAACAGTTGTTGCTAGTACAACTGGACAACAGGGGAAAGTTTAGAAATATCCGGTGTTTCTAAGAGCCTTCGATGAAGATGCAAAACATAATTGAAGTCATTACTTTCATCACAGTATGAAAAAAAACTAAATCACTTTTTTCTCATCTAGGCACATAGATCTCAGTGAGTGAGTAGATCGTCAAACCAGGTAACTCAGTGGTGGTTTCAAATTATAATCCAAAGTTTCGTGGTTCGTATCTGATCTGGGACCCAAGAGCAGTACACCGCTGATGAGACCCAACGGAGACTAAACAATTATACGGCGTACTCTGATATATATGCATATACATTTATACTAACAGATATACCTGTCTATCATACTGTTTCCCACATACAAATTACTATTAAACTTAGATACATACCTTTGTCTTGAGATGTTCAAAACCTGTCTATGTTCTGAACCGCATCCAGTCCCTTTGTGTTTTCCGTAAGCGACTGTCTGTACTCGGGCGTCATGCGTTGGGTTGCTTCGGCAAACACGATCGCATCGTGAATCGTGGGGAAACTGATTTTGTTGAGCGCCGCAGCATCGAATCCGCCATTCACCAGTGTGTTCCAAACATTCCAGGAACAATGACAAAACAGAACATTGATTTGAGATTCCTTGTATTTCTTTATTACCTAAGTAAAAGTAATGCAGTAAAAAAATTTCGATAATGGGAAACAAATAATTTGAAAGCGAAAAATACAAATCGAAAATACAAACGAAAATTCCAAACATCTGCATTTTTCAATTACAATGGAATAGAATAAGAAAATTAAAAAAACGAAAAGTAGAGGCCAGCAGCAATTGTGATTAGATAAGCTACATGTTGAAAAATCTGTGATAAATTGAGCAATTTTCAGTCTCCATTTTTCATCTGCAAAATCAGCTGTTTTTCATTTTACATCTGTCCGAAACACCTTCATCGAGTTCGGGATACTGAAGATATTACCCAATGGCTTAGTTATACGAATGATGTGAGTCATAATGAATTCTACGCAACTCCTCCAACGATGTTTCACTATTATGGGACTTGATAATTTAAATCAGGGGTAGTTATTGTGGATAGAAAACTCCAGGCGTTCGTTGGGGTTTATCCAACTAAGCTACGTGCTAATGACGTGAGAGTGAACTTCACCCACAAATCCAAACGAAGATGATTGACCTCTTGTATGACGGGAAACATCACCCGAAAAATGCACGACAAAGTAAAGTCAAAAGATCCGTAGCATCGACAACGTTTTCTCAAAATCAGTCACGTGTGTGTGCCGATAGTACAGTTATCGGACAAAGACTAGATTTAAAGCAGACAGGGGGAAACACAATGGCAAGAAACCTCTAGAGTGCATGACTTTGTAAGGGAAATGCTTTTCGAGAACACAATCTGTTATTTTGGACAATGTTAAGGACTTATTTTCCTAAATGTGCAGATATTGCAAAAACGGCTGTCCCCTAAATGGGCAATATTTTCAATTCATGGATTGGCTTTATCTCTGTGATACGTTTACTAAAACTAACCATAAAACCACTTTTGTACCGCTGCCAAGTAAATATCAGGTGTGGTCATTCAAGCCCAGGAATTGCGCTCAAAGGAGTTCAACAGTATATCTGGATAGTGATACCGGTTGAGGCACAAATCCTTATAGATCTAACCGCGAGATCGCTACTGAGTTATTAAGCATTGCACATTCAGTAGAAACTCATCAATCTGATTAGAGTAATACAACTAGATGATAGACAGTCACGTAGCAGAAGTATGCAGTTGGTAGTATACATCCGGGATGACTTCTTAAAATCACTGAGAACAACATTAATGATTTAAAGTCGCAGTACTTAGTAAGCTGCGGGCATGGGGTTGACTAATGGACTGTAACCAAAATTGTCCCCGTAACAAAAATGAACTGAAGAACTGCCAAAGATTTTCTCTTTCAAACGGGAGCGATGGCGATCAGGACTATGAAACATACATACATTTATTGCTACTACCACGGTCCCGCGAAACGGTGGAAAAGATCTTCCGTATTTCATTCGTTTTGAAAAATATTTCACACTTATTTGGTCGCCATTTCACTTAACCCTTTCATTTTATGCCTAGTGTAACAACCAACACATCGATCACTGTCGAGCAGATTGAATTGAATTTGTCTCTCACATTTACTGCTGCTAAGCAACCATACTTTTTATTTGTTCACCTATAAATATGAGCTCCTGGTGCGAGTTATCGGAAAAAAAACTTATTCGTGTTTGGAGAAAACTATCCCATGAAACGATGGCAATACTGACCAAGAGCAGTAACTTTTAGAAGTCTATCACCCCAAAAGTAATAATAATAATATTATTAAAAAAAGGGAGACGGAAAAATTATGTGAATTCGAAAGATGGCCCGATCTGTCGGGAAAAGTGTGAATTGATTATGTGCATATTTAAAATTGACTGAATTTGAGGGGGTAACCAGAATACCTCTATTAAAATACAGGAACCGACGTAATCGGTAAAGCTGCAGCCGGACATATCAAGAATTATAAACCAGGGTTTTTGGGGGAGCGTTGCACTGTGTTCAAAGTCCGAATGTTCAACATCCTGAAAAGCACGAGAAATGGGAAAACTATGAATATATAGATGAGTGGGAGGAGACCAAACAAGCTATATAAATGCAATCAACAAAACGTTTTTAAGAGTTGGTCATGCAAAGCTTTGATTTCTTAACGAACGCGACCTTGGAGTGGTTCACCAAGAAAAGTCTAGTTGGGTATCTTATTACTGCAGTAGTCTGAGAACAGATAGAGTTTGTTGGTATCAATCGTTTGAGAACAGTGATATTCAAGTGACGGAAGTCTCCAGGTACGATGAACAGTGGTGAATTAGCACACATCGTCAGTTCCAATGTAAGCATGACAGCAAATACAGAAACATTAAAAGCTATACAAAAAGATGAAACGTACAAATCCGATATGTTTACGTATCGGTATTTTCCAAAACATCTGAATTTATATTCACTCAAACGGATAACAAAAAATCGAATAGAAACCTGTGGGTAAATAACGCTATGGAATTCTTGCACTAGAAACCTTTATTATCCGCTACTGTGATCCCATTGCGATTCCATAGCTTACAAATACGGTCAACACCACAAATATTGTATCCGTGGAGCTTAATCAAAGAATCTGGGATATCTGGAGAAAACCACTCGTTTTGCAAAAGTATGAGTCCAAACGTAGACAATTCTGGACCTACTATCCAGTAAAATAAACAGTCTATTTCACTCAGTAGAAAAATTACATCGATACAGGTGATTGTTGGTTTGGTGAATGTTTTCTCTGCATGACGCAAAGCTGCCAGCTTACCCGCCAGTGCGATATTTTCGAAACTTTTATACTGAGTAACATTATTCCTAACACTGGGCATTTAGATCACAGTCAATTGGCTTATCGTGAACAACGTTCTTTTCTAGACGCCATCGCGCATTTGGTCACCTCAGTTTTGCGATCCTTAGACATGCACGACACACTAATTTGCGTGTATCCTCTACTATACTAATGTTTTTAACTATGTCGACAAGGGAAGTCCTTTATCTCTACTCCAAGGTATTGGATTGTGCCACACTATCCTGTCTCTAATCCAAGATTATTTTACCGAAGTTTCTTGGAAAAGCTTCTGACTCGCTACCGGTCAATTCATGGGTGCTCCATGGAGCAACTCTGTCCCTTATCCTTTTCTCTTTCTATGTTTGAGACCTACGAACTGACCCAGATGATCTTCTCATTAAGTATGCTGATGATATCACAACAGGTTCCAAATTCCCAGGTGATTTCCACTTCTATCAGCTTAAAACCAGTTTTTCTGCCTTAAGTTCATGGTCTTCGTATTCCAAGTTATCTTTCAATTTCTCTAAATGTAGGGATGTCACCTTCTCAATGGTTAAAGGAGAATAACTACACTCTTTGAAAAGGAATCGCTCTGTACTCTATGTTGACAAACAGCCTCTTCCCCCAGTACGTTCTCTGCAATACCTGGGTGTTACTATCTACCAAGATCTCAATTGGATTTCGCATTTAAATTCTACTCTTGAAAATAGTCGAAGATTGTATTACTTTATTTCCCGCTTGCATTCTTTGAAAGTTTCACTGTATTTACTCACTCGATTTGTATATTCTTGTGTTGTTACTCGTCTTTACTGCTCCCATTTCATTTGCCGGTTTTAGAGTCAAAGATTACACAATTCTCCGCCAGTCTATTAAAATTATTTCACACACAAGCGGTATTCTCTATTTGCACTTGCATAACTTAATCGCCAACAAACATTTTAACTCTTGCGAAAACTTCTGCAACAATATTCTATCAGACATCACTCATCCATTACACACAGAACTTAAACAATGCGTATCCACTTCTGTAACTAGGTGTCATTATAAATTTGTGTATGCTCGTACCACCAACTACCGTTTGTTCGTTAACCCATATCTTTCGAGATTTCTGGCACAAAAAGCATCTGTTACAGAAAACCTTTCGAATTTCCTGCGTAAATGATATCCATTTTCAAAATTTACGATACATTCCTCGTAAATTTACGATGCTGTATTTTACTTTTTGCTTTGTGACTGAATGCAATAATAAACGATCGTGGTGTGCAAGAAGCTGAGAATCCATTCATTAGGATGAATAAATCGATTTTTTACCTTGGGTTGGCTTGTTGTTCCTCATCAAGGTATCTGAATGGGTCTGTATATTTATGCCCTCTGACCACTTATTTCCCATTGCTTTCCTGTCATGTTTACCGGCCTTCAAATGAAACTATCAATTTGCGTGGGACTATCTATCTAGGTTGTATTAGGATAAAGTGGCATACACCGCTCTGCGTTGACCAATTTGATTACTGATACAAATTTCCTCGTGTGGTTAACTTTGCAAATGAAACATATTCGACGTAATCCATTCACTTCACAATCATTTCACTCTATGTGTGTGTGGTTTCTTCAACCGCCAGATCTGAGTATAAGTAACTTTACTCGAGGACATCGCATGTCAACCTTGTCCAATCTTCAAGGATTTCTTACCGAATCGTCTTGAATGACTTAGAAACCTCAAACGAATTACCATGGTATTATTACTATACCTCTTATCCAGTATCAACACTGCTTTAGTCAAGTATCTGTTTGCATGTTTACTCCTATTTGAATCACTTTATTGGCATGCGCCAGTATTAAATGATAAGTATGCCGATTTGCTAAAATTCTATCCCCTGAGATGAATAAATCCGGTTTTAAGATTGAATCTTATCTCATACATTCTTTTGTTATTTTTGTCCAGAGCGCGAATATACCGTTTCACTCAAATGAGGTGAGGCAGATTACCCGGTAATGCAAGAACGATTGCTCACTTCCCAGGCCCCATAATTCGGATCAGATAGCAAGACAGCACTGGCGAATTTAAATGATCAGATGTTTGTTTAGTCTATTCAATTAACAAACAAATTAAAGTATCTGAGGGAAAGTGATCGAGGATGAATAAAGTTAGAACCCGATCAATAGCTGCCAGATTGGATTTTAGACTAATCTGACTCTATATGGCTCAGTAATCAACCCAGTTTATTGAGTTTTTTTTACTGTACTCTGACTATAGTCCAAAGGACTATCAGAAGTAAAAATCAGGTTATTTTTCTTGAAATGGGAAAGTTCATATTGTTGATCATCTACTGATAGGTAAGGTCAAATTTGCAGCTGGCATCATTTGGCAACGAAACTTCTGTCGCTCATATCCTTTATCAGTAGTCAAAATCTATAGGCAAGCACAATGAGTTTTTCTGAAGGCAAAGAATAGATTACAGTGTGACGTTACACGCTATGGGTTTAGCTGCACATCATCAGGTACCTACTAAAGAATATAAAGTATGGGATAATTATTATGGTAAGAAATTTATTAGAGTTCATTTCTGAAGTGTGCTGCGTTTATTGTATCATAAATGATTATATAGCATGGTGTGCAGTATGCATCTGATGGGAGGCAGCGAAACTCATCTGGATAAAACTGTAGAAGGTCTCTGGTACTAACAATTGCATCGTAAACCAAGTGACTGAACGGATCGCTTTTAAGAACAAAGGAACGGATTGAGTAAGCAAACGGCCACCGCCTTGACTGCAACAAGGTATCTTTGACGAATAGCTTTGGATGTTTGTTCCTGTACTTTGTAGATCACCTTGAATGCGTCATCGTTTGCTTGATCTCCCGCGCCTACAAGGTATTCCACCACCGCACTTGTAACTGTTTTCCTTATGCCCACAATCAACTACGCCGGCTTGCGCTTCTTAACATATCAATGGGTCCTTGATACTTACTTCTTTAATTTCATACGCAATTGTGAAACATCAGTGTCAGGGTGTCGTTCTTTTTTTGTGAGGACAGTGTTTGGTACGTGCTCCTTCAATTCCTATGTCTTAATTGTGATTTTCGAATGACCTGTGTGATATCTGACAAATTGTTAGACGGCAATTTCATCCTTGTGGGGACTCATCAACCGTGCGTACCGTTCTGTGTCCTCCAGAATGGTTTAAACGTACGAAATATTACACGATCACAAACCGAATATGACTAATAAGACAACTTCTAAGGATTGAAACCAACACTTATAACATTATACAGAACCCTAGGAACAGCGAATTCTCATTGAATCAAAACAAACGCAATTCAGCTGACGTCATTACGCACTCACGTGTTACACTCAGGTCACAATTCGAGGGTGTGCTTTTCAAATCCCGCAAGGGACATAAAGGCATTAGGCCTTTTGATTAATCCTAAAAAAAACTAAACGCCTATCTATTTTTTTCTTTTTTGACCTCCAGAAAAAATTGTCCTACGAACAAACAGGTCTTTTAAGTCTGTAAAACCTGCTCACATTCGAAATAAGTGTGTGCTTATACTGAATCCCAGTCAGAACAATTAGCTTACTAGCTTCTAAAGTAAATAGTGCACAATTTGGGGCTTTTTGAATTTAACATAGCTAGGTAAACAAAGCCGGTCAACAGAAAAGATACTTTCCACCATGAAACTATGCGGTTGTCGGAATTGTTTAACCAAACAAACTAGTGAAGGCAACAAAACTGACGTCAACAGACAATTTGGACTTTTTGATGGATGGTGATAAATAGAATATGAAGAAATAAACCACGACATGTCTTAAAAACAATATCACATGTGAAGCTAGTTAAAACATGAAAACAATTCGGATGAATCAACGGGTACAGTGCGGTGAGCAGTGGAAAAACACCAGGCAGAACAGGCCATACATGCGATGACCCACTGTAACCAAATTTTGACGTGTCGGCTCAGGGTCGATAAAATGTGAAAGCCTGTTACCATTAGGACGTCCAGCTCAATACCAACATGCCATGCCTGAAATCACGTGTCTGAACCAAAACAGCACGAGAGCAAACAAATTTCAATGCATGCACTTAACACTGATGACCGTGTTTACTACACTGGATGATAGGAGAATAAGTGTTTTATTGTGTGAGAGAGAGAGGAAACTAAACCACAGAACTTGTCATTAGCGAACAGTAGTCGAAAAAAATCCAAACAGATACCGAAACTAATCGTATGCATTTCAATCGTGTAAGTAACATAGGAAGTATAGATTCACACATTTTTTGCTGCATACCCATTTCAGTTCAGTTTCACATTCCTTTTTTTGCCGCACACTGCATTCTGAACGCTCGGATCGTTTTCCTAGGCAAGCAGCCCGCTGTGGGCAACAACGCCCAAGCGAAGGAATACGCCATCGACTTCGACAATTTTCTGGACCATCTCTGGTGTTGGTCTTTTNGACTCCAGTCGATCGAATCAGCCAGTTGCGAAATGCCTCCGCATTCGCGTAGTAAATCGGGCCGGCGGTTTGCAATACTGTGATACCGGGTATAGATTCAACCTAGCAAACAAATCATGTGGACAATAATTGTAATTGCCATGCATATATGTCGCGGAGCATCAAGAAAAATCATCCTACAAGCACCTTCATGACAAAGAAATTATAATGTACAAGGATGGATTTGGAAAATTAAGCTTGTCGATGAAAGCTACATGTTNTACATGTTCGTTATGCGCATATTCGCTGCTCGATTGTGGTTGCATCAATGACGGTCCGGTAATGTGACCGACATTGATGGATCCGGCAGTGTTGGTGTGTGGCAAGCTGCTGGGAGCCAGCCGAGATCACCCAAGCGAATCTCCAACTCCTCGTGCCCGGGTTTGTTGAATTCAATGGGTTTGGGGGTATGTAGCACTGATTATACCTAATGAACCAGGATGAAAGAGCTGCACAGTACTTCCAAGGCTTTTCAGTTTTGATCCTCAGATTTATTCTGCTGCATGAATCTGCTTGATAACCAAATCAACATGTAAAGGACATTTTAAATCGCACTTAATTATGACTGGTGGCATGTTTATAGGTGTGATCGGACCTAGTGGATTTATTGATGTTCACCTGAACTTTTACCACCTGGGGTTGACAGATTGCATGCAGCCTCCTGCTTTTGCTATCCGGTCAGAAACAAGTTGGTTACCTTTGAAAAAAAATAATTCGAACCAAACTTGGTGTAACATGGATGCCATAGTGGTAACAGAAACATTCTATTTGAGGAATATGGGTTTCAAACAGCGTCTGGAGTGGTAGATATGTATCATGGATAAGTTGCGACTACTACAAAGCTCGATTCTATCACTTAATGAATGAGCAGTTTATTGGAATAAAGAAACGTTGTGCATGAGGAGTGTGATTGATTGGTTATGATGATTGTTGGTTGGCAAAACAGAAAACAAATAATGAAGATAAAAGAATAAATATTGGGCGGATGTTAATATTTTTTTCACTGAAATTATGTCGTAAATCTTTGAATACTCTGTTCCGAAGGCATGATACTGAGTCGGATTGAGTTTTTAACTCATTGAGTGCAAAAAGACGAAATGTTCGTGGGAAGAGAGTATACGAATACTTACTCCCTCGAAATACTTTTGTTCTAAATAGACGTTGGTGTCAGGAACACGACCCAGAATACGTCTTTCACAAGAACGTGTTCGGTATAGAATGGTGATTAGAGAGTAGCTCAGCCCAATGAGAAGTCCGTATGGAATGTCCACAAGTACCGTGGCTAAGAAGGCCACAATCCAGGTGCTCTAAACAAGTGACATTTAGAAAAAAAGCGAATTATAAGATGATTTTCAAAGTGATTCTGAACACCGTAATTCACTAGTCCTAATGAAATCAGTGAAAATTCCTTTCTCATACCTTGTAAGATATCAGACACTGTGCCATTTTCTATGTTAATCTTGTTCCCTAGAAATAGGCTTTAAATATTTCTGAATAGGTGAATGAGAAACAAATCCAAGTATAAAAATACATGCAACTTATTCGTGAAAACTGTGAATCTGACAACTAGTATACAAATATAAACACATCTCAAAAGGTAATCTTTTATCACATCCATCTGTTGCAGATCTGAACAGAAAAAATGTCTGCTGTTCCCATTGCTCAGGTTGAGTAACTTGATAGCCCGCCGAGTTCGGTAACTGACAAAGCCGTAATTGTTTCAACATAAAGGATGCTTTTTTCAGGAGTCCTCAGAATTATTCGCCAATTGAGCTGGGCATATCCATACTTATGAGTTCAGTGATGGTGGACTTTATCCGACTAATAATTTTACCGTGGTTCGAAGTATATATATCATGTAAATCATATGTGATGTTCAACCAGTACTCTTTTACTGATCTGAAGTACGAATATATTAGTAGCTTGTAATACGTGAATTTGTTCATCTCATTCTCAACAATCATCATCATTATCATTGCCATTAGTATAATTAATTAACTGTTTTACAGGATATGTGTACAAGCAGACCAGTTGACAGGTATAAATGATCCGTATGCGAATCGTCACTTACCAGATCAAATAGAGATGTCCGATACAACTTCGGCAGATCCAACATTTGTATCAAAATCCCCTTGAGTGAAATTGTAATGATGCACGACAGGAGGCACTGTGTAATGATGAACAGGTTGACAATGAAAGCCGATTTCAAACCGGGTGCATTAAAAACATGTTACCTAACCCAAGTGTAGAGCAGCTCAGTAACGTCAAGTTTAAAGCGGATAGTTTATTGATAGCAAAATAAACTAAGGTTCGAAAAGGCCGCTTTTAAATCAGTCTGTCGATTTCATTGCAGATTTGTATGAGAGTGGGGGAGGTTTTGACTAAATTAAATGTGATGAATTCTTCATGTAAGTGAGACACCAGCTGAAATGCTGAGCTGCACTGGGTAGCTGTTTCGTCTTGATTGGCTCTCATCAGCAACGCGAATCCATCGCCCCAAACGGGTGATCCAACTAGGCGGAAACAGTTGTCTAGTGCTTCCTAGATTTTCAGTTTACGCTTCATTTACAAGACTAACTATGTACCTTTAATTAAAGGTTGAAGAGTTGAAACTCTGTGATTGAAGTCTTCACTGAAACTCAGGAAACACTATTGATCTGCATTATCTTTCTACAGCTGGCTACTTGAAGAAGACAAACTGGGTGCATAATAGATGATCAGGAGGTTTCATGAAAGTCAGAAGTTGTTCAGTCACTCGATGGACCAGCTATTTGCACAACCAATGGCGGACTGCATGGCAGCAGAGCATTAACCTATGGTTACCGGTGGCTCTATCTGTAAGTGATTCTCCATTCAACAGTTGTGAGTGTGCCCCAGGGATCTATGCATTCCTGTTATACGGATAGATTTGCTTTCTAGCCATGAGATCAAGCAGTCGATGTCGTTTACCATCTACGTGTTAGTAGCCTTTTATTTCCGTTAAAATTTTTCAGTCTTTGGTAACTATCAACTCGACTGAGGCAGTACAGAAAATCAATAGGAGGAATGGATGGCCACGGTCGATTGACTAAACCAAACCTTTGACCTCTCGTAATGGATGAATGATAAACAAGCACAAAAGAACTATTTGATCACATTATCGATCGTTGTTTGCTTTTATCTGTGGTCATAAAACTGAGAGTCTGTGAACAAAGACAACTTATAAGTAGAGCTACTTAAGAATTACCGTGTCGTGGTGTAAATAATCCTCGTATTGTCCATTCCCATATTCCCAAGTGCAAGTGTTTATTCGCCCACCTGATACAGCATAATTAATCACATTTTATCAGCACTTGGCGCTGCTGAACAGGATATTTGTGCACATGCCCATGGTCTTGAAAAATGAATTTGAAATTATTTCCATGAAATGCTTTAAAACGAAGTAGTATCTCAGATGCTTCAGATGCTTTTCATTCAGATTTCAAAATTAAATTTCACGAATGAAGCTAAATAAGACAAACATATTTCGGACATTATTCTCGTTTGCTTAACATCATGCATTTGAGTTCCAAAACTAAACCAGGACTTTTGCTGTTTTCTTTTGCCCACAAAAAAGAGTGGATTGATAAACAGATTTCGTTGTTTCATCAGAAAACTAGATCAAAGGAGTTTTCAGACGAGACCAGTGAAAAATAAAATTCCCAAAACGCACCAAGGGTAGTGTTTTTAGTAGCGGGCCAATAGAAGTCACAACCAATAGCAGTACCGAGCAGGAGACGATGGTGGCCACCTTCGAAGAAGAAAAAACGAATTGAAATTCTATATATTTCTTGGAAGTAAACAAATCAGCATAGAAATCTTCAGAAAACACCAAGGGCATGAACAGAGACATGTGATCTTGTTGAACATTTTCTTGTGCATTCTAATTCGATATTTCTAAGGAATTCACGATTTTTTCAGTGAATTCCCCCCCCCCCAAGTTAAATGATGATCCTTTTTTCCTTTTAGGCTAATTTAAACTCTGTACTGAAGATGTCAGCTTTTCTAACGTTGAGTTGGATTTTGAGTAAACATTCCCGTCCTGGAAACCGGAAACACCATGCGCGTGTGATTCACGGTACGAGAAATATAATTAGGTGAACCTTGTTTTGCACAAAAGTAGAAAATCTTTCCACAGTATCCGTATTTGTACCCTGGGAAGGATATTATCCGACAGAACGAACTCGAAGAATCATAATGATGCTTTTTTTTGGTCATTTGTATTGGGTTAATGACTTCCCACCTCGGCAAACCGAACACTAAGACGGATTGTTTTGTCATGAAGCAATAAGCAGAAGCAATAAGTATATGGACGACTCGGATACATTCAGGAATTCATCTCTACAATCACAGGGTGCCTAAAATGAAAAATTTATTTCTAAAGATCAAGCCGGTGTTAATGATTTTTGAGCCGGACATCTTCAAATTCGATGCACGTCAATGGTGGACAGCATGATCACACAATCGCTCATTGCTGCAAGATTGATAATATTAAGTGTTACAAATACTAATCCTGAGAAGTGCATGTGAATGACATCAGGTGTGACAATTTCAAGTTACAAACGTTAATTTCTTAACCTATACCTACGTAATACCCCTAAGTAGTACAATTTTTACATTTCACATACTGTATGATCAAACTTCTCTCTACGATGATGGAATGAAAGATCAAGTATCATGTCCTGTTCAAATCATCTCATTTATATATCTAAGAAAGTATCCCAAAGGCCGATCGGTGAAAGTGCTTGTTCCTACATCGTATTATTTGCTCCAACTCATTATTATCAAGTTTCCTTCATGAGATTAAAACTGCGATATACATAAATAGAATAGCATAGCATAGCAGAGGAGATGGAGTACCATCAGATACCTTGCCTAATAGCAAAATGGTGCAAATAGATTAAAAATAGAAAACCTTTTGTAGATTTAATTTTTGCCACACCAAGAGAATCCGGATGAATCGAATTCTAACTTGTCGTACAACGGTATCGTGTGAAAATTCGAATACGGGCAACCAGGTCTCCTGCTTCAACATACCTGAGATTGCATACCAGCTCCGACAGCCACGCTAGTTCGTGCAAGACCCCCAGAACATGCATGGCACTGGAAAAATCCACCGAAAATATTTGCCAAACCCAGAGCTGACATTTCCTGGAATAGAACAAAAATGTATTTAAGCACCACTAGTAAGCTTGTATGGAAAAAAAACGTTTGAAATTGTTTTTTTTTATATTATTCAAAATAAAAATAATACCGCCTTTATGAAGATGTCTTGAATAGACCTTTTAATAATAAGGTTTGCGAATAGCCGAAAATTATCCCCACCCAGCTTTCCATATTCCTATAAGGTAATTGTATTCTATGGAAAGATAAACCCTAACAAAGGGTCGTATAACTAATTCATAGAATCTTCGCATTGATAATATTTTTCAACACTCAGTTCTTCGGATTTGATAACAAGGTGTAAAAGGCAGCAATCAGTAATTAATCACATAATTCCGGTGTTGAACGGTGGCGTTGTTGCTGCAGTGCCAATATGGTGATGATAATAAAGTGTGCTTCCGAGAAATGGTAGAAAGCTATAGACCAGGGGCAAAATAATATGCAACTTTCATAGTTCGTCTAAATGCAATCAGTGGTGACACCTTGGGTACTCGGTGAGCATATTACTGAACGGGTTAATTAGCGTGCCGCGTCGCATCAGAACCAGCAGGCGGCACATATTCCATTAGTTATGTGCAAAGGACCACGAAAAATTCTGATTTAGTGAATGTTGGCAAGAATTATTTAAAGGTAAAAGGAGTCCATTTCCGAAGCAAATATACACTTGACTTTCCAACACAAGAAACGCTAGAATGGTCTGTTCATTTTGAGCGAATCAGTAAGGTAATATCGTTCTGAACATTAAATCCCTTAGTTTGTTCCGGTTGCCACAAATGAGAAACATTTGACCGAGGGAGTTGGTGAAAGTTAGTTTGGTGAGTGACATAGTAGAGCATGGCTTTGAACTATGATGAAGTAGTGGAAATAATGTGGAACGATTGTAACTCGGGAGGCGGATGTTGATGTGCGACATCATCGCCTGGCTACGAAACGTTCTGCTCGAAGAACACACCGACACCAATATGATACAGTGGTTGCACAAAACGCTGGTTGCTCAGCTCACAATTCCCGAATGGTGTATAGAATATGCTCTTGAACGTATGGAACGACTGTTAGTTGTACTTATCTGCTAATTCGACGTCTACGTACATAAAATTGGTACAGTTTTGTCAACTGGTATCAGACCACATTTTGAGTGTGGTATAATCAGTGCAAACTGGTTCAAAGTTGCATATCGCTGCGTCTTGAATTTCAAGAATATTCACATATTTAATTCATAGTTATTTGTGATTACTAACTAGCAATAAGTGTTAATGATTTTGGGGCTCGATAGCACGGTGGCAGTTCGCACACAACTTCCATACGGCAAGGGATGCAAAGTTCAAATCCCGGGTTACTAGTTAGTTCTAACTCGAGTCTCTGTCGCCATCTGAGAGTACGATTGACTGAATGAACTGGGAATGGTGCATGAAAACAGAAACTGAAGGATGGTCCCGCGAGATAAATAGTCATACGATTTACGTACCATACTGAGAGAGATTAGCTGTTTTCCGGTGCTGTACAATCATCAAGGCAGTTATTGTTGAAGTGTAAACAGACAAGCTGAAATAATGCATGAATGCTAGTGAGTGGGGTGTCGAGATGCTCATTTTGTGCACACTCACCCTGGTGTACTCAACGGAATACGCGTATCGCGTTGCATAAAGCTTCACGACAGACATTGTGGTCGCCAAAGAGACGAAAGCAGCAATTGCGCACTCAACCCATACATGAGTAACAATGGAGAAATCAGGAATCTTCGGCTCTGGTAATCTGAAAAATCAATGAAAATGGATAGAGCCACATCGGTGAGTAATTCCAATCCCTCAGCATCTGCGTTTTCACAAACCTTCCGCAAGAAATGGAATCAAAGCGTAAATCACATTGTAAATAGCAAAAAATGAAACAAAATCTACATTCAAAATGAGCCAATGGTACCAACACTTATAGCGAGCAAAACATACTTTCAGTTTCAGTTTTAACCATGTACTTTTGTGCGCCGGTTTTGGTTACTATCTTTTAGTGTCCCATTTGAATAAAAGAGTAGAATGAGGATTGGAATGTTGAAAGCGAACTCAAGCGGAACTTGATATTTTGCCAACCACTACCTGCCTCGGCAAACATCGCTCGCCGTTGCAACCTATTTGGTGACATGTGTAACACATGCCTCAACCAGCGTAATCTATGGAAGACCATCACTTTCTCCAGTTGACGAACGCGACTGCCTAAAACTTTACACCTAACCTCAGCATTGATAGTCCACTTATTCCACCAGACTCGTGCAGTGTGAAGTAGACAGCGGTGTTCGAACACTGACAATGTACTTTTATCCTGTTCCCGTAAAGGCCACGTTTGTGAACCGTAAAGCGGCACTGGTCGAACTGCTGCAGCATATACTCGACCCTTCACAGACAGCCGGATGTCGCGACGGCGCCACAGGTATCTCAAGTTCGCAAATGCCAACCGAGCCTTTAGTATACGCGCCGACACTTCATCTGTGATGCGTCTGCCAGTTGAGATATAGCTGCCCAGATAGCAAAATTTGTCTACTTCGTCTGCTACTTCCTCATTCAGGGTGAGACTGGGTGCTGGATCAACTCAGTCTTGGAGCAACAGTTTACACTTTGAAGGCACAAAACGCACACCGAACCTGGATGAACTAGCACTCAAACTATCCATAAAAGCTTGCAATTTAACTGGACCTTCACTTAGTAGCTCAATATCGCCTGCATACTCTATATCAGACAGTCTGCCACCTGGGAGTAAATCAATACTGCTATCCTTGCACGAGGATAGAGAGAGCTGTTTCAATAGTCGAACACCACTTTCTGTGGTGAACTCGACTGAGTCGAAAGCCACTTTCAGATCTAGGAAGATAGAAATGATGGGTCTACGAAAGGAGTGTCCGTATTCTAGAATTTTACGAAGATTGAGAATGTGGTCGATATAACCTCGACCAGGCTGGTTCTTACGCGTACACCGTTCACGTGCGGCAGACTGCCGACGGAGAAGTTTAGGGGCAATGTTGATTAAACTAATTTCTGTGGTTTTCACAAGAGGATCTGTCACCTTTCTTGTAAACCGGTATGATCAACGATTCACACCATTCCGTTGGAATCTCTTCACTCTGAGCCCAGGAGTTATGTTAACTTAAAAACCAAAACATAGTGATGTGATGTTTGTTTGTGCTACATCACTGCACATATCCATCATACTATATTAGGACGGAAGTCGTTTAGACGAAATCGGTTTTCGGTATGTTCCCTTGTAGAAAGATTTTAGTTGAACAGTCTCACAGAGTGCACTGTAAGTAAAACAGAATGGTGAACAATTTCGTTTTCCGTCATTTGTAAACACACCAATATGTCACAATGTATACCACTAGGTTTTAGAAGACAGAAACATTTACGGTATAGCTTACAGGGATTTATTCTCAAGACAGGAAAAACAATTTACAATGATGCTCTTTTGACTGTTCAGATTCAGTGAAATGTGTAGCGTGTGTGTGTGTGTGCATGTGCTTATTCATGTCAGCCCAGCCGCATGAGAGAAAATTCATCCACAGCTCACCAAGGGAGCAGTGAGGAGGAAATTTCTAGCTCTTCCGTTGGAGCTATCACATGCTAACAAACTTATTATGATAGACAATCTCATAGTCTATACGGAAAGAAGATAGATTACCTTGGCCACGTCTATGGTAGCATTCTTTCCAGCTAGGTTTGAGACCATTGGGGAGATGAGTCAATTATTTGTTCCATTATTCGAGTACAGAATGCTCATGGATACGTCTGGACGAAACACTTGATACTTTTGAAGATTTTCTCGAAAAATGTAACATTATTGTGTTGCTCAAGGTATTGCTGCATTAACTGAATATGGTTAAACGTCTTCCTAGTTAACTGGAGCAAGGCGTACAGAACAGGTGTTGAGTTTTACAACAGGTAATAAAACAGTGACTATCCAAATCATAGTAGTAATGGTAATGATAAAAAATAATAACCGAAACCGAACTCTATGAATGCTGATGGCATGGAAGAAACAGAAAACTCTTCCCGGATCAAGCATTCTCAACGTGTAATCCAAAAAATTATTTTATGTACCTGGGGGTTCTCCGTAAAGAATTTTGACGGGTTGTATAGTATTGGGTAAATTTAGGCGCAAACTTTTGACCGCTACTCGTTCTTCCCCACACTGTAGGCACCTTCAGATAAAACCATTTACAACTGTTCCCCCATTATGAATGGTATTGTAACCAGTAAAACTGATGTGTTCAGCGCAATAAACAAATTCAACTCGACCAATATTGGTTGTAATAGTTTTAATCTGATCTAACAGTTTCGCTGGCAGCGAACACACAAGTACACGGTTTTGTGTTTCCAACTGGATGTGACAGTCATCCCGATATTTGCCGTTTACACTTCCGGAGTAACAAGATGAGCGAAACGGGCAAAAACAAACAAAACTGTAAGATTTTCGACTGGTACACTTGAGTTGGTATGTATTATCATTGGATCGTCTACGGTAGTTCACTTGTTCAAGCAGCCTAATTGTCGTTCTATTTTACAAGCGGTCGATCTCGCCAGTTAGTCTTTGGTTATCCACAGTCGCAATCCGACAAATGAACTGGACAGCTTTTGTATTCAAAATTGAAAGAGAATTTGAGTGGATTCCGGAGAGAGATTGTAATAAACCGCTGACCTTGCGAATCAACGAGGTGTTTTCATGTATGGGACCGCTGTGCAAAGTTACTTCAACAAACGGCCAAATTATCCGTTTGGACAATAAATGGTATGGTATGGTAATATCAATCAAACTATTCCAGTGACAAAGTTCGATGAATCTGTTAGCAAGGTGTCCTCGGTTGTCATAAAACATTTCACGCAAATGTGACACTTTCATGGATATGATAACAGTTTAAGTGAAATATTGGAACAATCAAGGATGTCGCTTTTAGCCGCAGTTCAGTGAACGACCAGAACGTATATACCATACCGTGAATTGCATCGTAAGTTATCCGGCGTGAGAGGGATTAGTCTCAATGAAGCAACATATTCAGGCGAACTACCAAACAAAGTAGAAGTCCCGGAACAAATAATATAAGTGTTTTTTATTAGTGAGGGACACATTTTCCCCACTAACAACTAACCATTACATGATCGGTACAGACACGATTATGAATAATTCGAAAACAATTGTCCGCCTTCCGACTTGTGCTCTAAAGTGGAAATCTGATTTACTTTATTCACGCTCAACAGCCCTCATGTACGAAGAACTAGTAAGGACTTTTTCAGTGCGCCGTTTTGGAATAAACACAAGTGTGAAGTAAAGCCTATTGGTAGAATAGTAGTGCATGCCGCAAAAACTCAGAAAGGAACGATTGCTGGTTATTACACTGTAATAAACAGCCCCCTATCAATCGTGCGCTGAATTTGTTTTCTGGAGATCCGAGCATCAACAGTACAGAGCAGAAAACGAGAGCATGACTGCCGATATTGTGGAGGACGGTTCTGTGGTCCCTGTTTGTTCGATGCTTTGGCCAAACAACACCCATGATTAGTCATCTTTGCGACTTAGTGTCATCGTGGATGTCCATATAGGCGTTGAACTCAATAGATTTGCCTCGACCGCTTCAAACCATAACGCCGTGTAAAATTACGCTGTCTAAAGGAACACCAAAGTCGAAAACGCCGCAATAAATCCGTTCTGAGTTCAAAGGGTTTTACAATCGGGTTAGTTGTTATCACAGGTCTACAATGTCAGAATGACTCACACATTTATGCGTTGAAGTAACATAAAATACTTAAAAAATGCAACCCATTTGTACTTTTGAGTGCTTTGTACTCAAACGGTCATCCGCCCCTCACCCTGTCGCTCACCAATAACACAACTAGCTATTGTTGTCCGATTGAAATAATGATCAAAGTAATGACTATTTCGCTTGGGAAAACCAACTGGCAACCGGAGTTAAATTTAAGCGGTCTTAGGAAATGTTTAAAACTTGAGTTCAAGCTTCAGTTGCATGAATACTGTTCGTGATCTGATTCATTTATTTAGTGCATCTTTAACAACCCAAACTTTTCCATCAAACAATATATAAAATTATGCATAAAACTATGATTTCGCCATGCCGATAGGGTGCGATTCCAGCGCGGTAAAATTCTTGGATGTTCTAGTGTTAACCTCTTACCCATTGTTATTGAAAATATTCACGTTTTCACAAGTAAACAGACAAATTCGCCAAATAACTGTAAAACGTGCAATTATGGTTAATAGTTTTGTATAAATTTTGATCCTGTGCAAACTTTCAGCACGAGAAATGTGCTCACACGCATCATTTACGTTTGAAACCAAAGCTCACCCTTTTGGAAGCTTCCCAGCAATTGCCACACCGTACTTCTCATGTAAATTTGCAAAATGGGAAATGGCTGTAACCAAAATAAGCTGAAATATAAAAAAGAAAAAGAATATAAGCGGCGCAAAACATGACTAAAGTTTCACGTGAATGAAAACAATGAAGTAGATAAGTATAATCACTGAAGGAAACTATGGGTCACAAACTCTGTTCAGCTAACGGCTATAATTTATTGAGATGTAAAATTAAAGTATACATATATATTTACACCGTTTTGAGGACAAGCACGGTGCCAACGCCGCAACAATAATAACAATAACAATAATATGGGGCAGACGGGTTGGAATATAGAGCAAAATGGGAAAAGGTGAAACAGTTAACATAGAAAATAGTGGGTAACTGGGATAATAAATGCTTTTGTGTTTCACTGCGTTTTGTGAAACCTTGGAAAATTGGTCACGATGCTCGATCTTAACTTCATCAGTTCTTATTAAGATGACCCTGTTACTCCAAAAAATCTTATTCAATTGGAAAGACCGATGTGCAACTCAAGTAGGCTGAATTAAGGATTGCTTTTTGGTGAATAGATCGACGTTTAAGTGCTGACGACCACATGTCACGTGGCAGGCTATCGATCTCTTGGCTCAGTGGAAAAAGTTGATCAATCGTCTGGGTCAATAGTATAACAGTATTGTTATCGTATGGAACTAGAGGGAGGAGAAGAACTAGAGCCTTGGATTTACTTACTCTCGAAATTGGATTCACACTGGGCAGTCGAACTCGTTGAATTATAGTAGCAGTGATATCTCCACTAAAGTGAATATGGGGAAACTCAACGTAAGCTCATATGAGAGAACCGGAAAACCCTGCTTCGAAAACCCCCAAGAAGAGGTAGGCGAACTATCGGTAGAGCAATCTGATAGCTACGGCCAATCCCGACATGTGAGCGCGTCTTAAGGGTGTAAGATCAGACTAATTGGGTACAGGTTTTCATATGCAGCCTGGCTGTCTTGTGAATCACTGAACCAATATCTTGCTTTGTTTTGGTTTTTAATTTCCATACATAAGGATTAGTGTGCCATGATTTGTCCAACACAAAGCCCCACAACAAGCGTAAAATATAAAAGTAACAAGAGCTACTGTGATCTCTTCAGTTCGAATTTCCCTACCGTTGCTCATCTTCTGGAACACCGTATTTCCTCACAGGGCGTTTATTTTGCCGGTTCCATCTTCCTGATAATTGGTTGTATACTTATATGTACGATAAATCAAAAAGAATGTAACAAGGCCAATCTAAACATTTTTTCAGACATAATTTGAACACTTGTAATGTTTGCACTGTTGCACACCAATCGCTTCTGCAACGCATTTGAATAACAATGGGAAATATGCATGAACTAATTTATTTGAAAACCTCACAAAAGATGATATTTTCAAGTATTTTTTTAACGATAGTAGAAATGGGTTACATTATGTGCTATTTCAAGTCAAGTCATAAGTCACAAACTGCTCTATTCATTCACTTTTGTTATACACTAGGGTTATAAAACAAATTTGAGCACGATATTTTCTGACTTACCAAAGCCAACTCAATAGGCACAGGAAATCGTATCTTGGCGTAAACTCGTGGATTGATATAGAACTTGAAAAGAGCCAATATTGCAATGCAGCCGAGGGACAAAGCAAATGTCACCCAATTGGTCCGGGACACGGTGTGACAGAAGTTTTGTGCTGTCTTCAAGAGGTGAATATTTTACAGAAGATGAGGGTGATGATATTGAGTATATGCATAAGCATAGTGATCTCGGAAATTGGGAAAATGAAGCAATTATCAACAGAGCCTAACTGTCAATATGCAACATGGCCGTAAACTGTGAGCAAAAGTTCTGGCGATTGCAGTTGGAAAGTATTCTGGCGGGGAAGAGAGAAAGAGACAGCTTCTCCTGAATTTTTCAGGAATATCATCTAAACATGTATTTCAAATGTAATGTGGTACGAAAATCAAAGTTTTTATATTCAGTGCATTTCTTCTTTTCTTTCACTTCTTTTTACTGATAACATTAACTGATACAATTTTTTGGGAACGAACTGATTAATTAGATGGCTGCCACACAACACACAGACAGTGAAAAATCCGGGCAATGATGGGATTCGAACGCACATCCTCCGGAATGACAACCCAGTGACCTGTCCACTCGGCCACCACCGCAGTCAATCAGGGTAATGTGTGAAGAAAATATTAAATGGTCGTTCAATCACGATCTATCTGTCTGTTGTTCGCATGCCATAACCAGATCCAGCTTTCGCTGCATAGCATTTCACATAAATATTTATCTTAATTCAACAATGCCCTAATTGGCTCGCACTCTAATTGATAGGCAGAAGGTTCCACACAGACTAAATAAGAACCTAAAAGGATGATGTTCTTTTGTTAAAGTTTTGTCAACTTTGCATGTGGTGTTTTCATCAGTTTTATCCTAATGTAACACTGAGTAGCGTTTTTCACTGAAATGTAAGCATAGTCACTTGCACAATCAATAAGTTGTAATACAATTAAAGTTATGTTAAACGTCAGAAATTCTCTTTCATTGAAAAATGGAATCGGATGCAAAAACGCATCCGCTATGCATACGAAGTGCACTAGAAGCGATATACAAGGAAGTAAGAGAATCTGCTCATCACTGCTGTTATTACATACCGCTACTTGATGAAAACCCGAAGGGGTAAATCCCATTACCCGTGGTTATTCTAAACTCCGAGACTTCGAGTGACAAACTATATAAGTCCCCAATAGGATAAATATGGCAATGAGCCCGGCGACAGCAAAGCTGACTACCACCAAATTTGAATCGCATTAGCGGGGATCGAACCTCGAATCTAAGGCCTTCTTGAACACACTTGTCAAAGCCACAGTGATCAACTGACTTCCTATGTTTCGCAATTAACAGCGATTAATTATAAAGCTTTACATAGACCGATCATGGAACAGTTACTGACAACTGCCAGCAGTTTGGACTTAGTGGCAACAGATATAGCTGCTGATCGCCGCATCCGCGTGTGTTCCTTTATTCATCAACTGTGACCAAGTGACTGTCCCAGTCCTTCTCAAATGTGGCTTTAGTTTATCTTCTATCCTAGAGCCACCAAATTGTGAAATGTCCTCTCTCTCGTTCCGCAGTTCCCCTTTTCACTTGAGTTCAAATACAGGATTAGTAAACTGGTTTTGGCATGATTTTTCACATAATTCTCTTTTTATACAAAGGGGTTCATTAAATTATTGGAGTTATCCTTTATATTGCACTTCATATTTATCTTGCGGTACACACTTGATCTTACGATTGATCGCTGCGCATAAACTTATCAGAAAGGAAAATACAAACATAGCAGATTTTGTATGAGTGGTAGGGTAGATTTTCAAGGTTATCTGGTGAATATCACTTGGTTTATACGTGACACAGATGTAATGAGCGATAATTGTTCGATTTTTGGTGATAATACCAAGTTGAAGAAGATTTAGGGATAAATGAACCAGAAAGAGAAAAGCAAGCGATCGTTGGGGAGATACAAAACGCGGAGTGAAAATCAACATGAGCTTCCTGTAGGCGTTTTCGCTGTGCGTTCGATAAGCAACCGTCCTTCGATACTACAAATTCTATTGATTTTCTCAGTCGAATCTTCAAAAAACAATGATCTGCCTACTTTTCTATCTCAGAGGTAAACCAAATATGTAGAATGAAAATAAAAAATATCAATGGTTGAAAAAGAAATATCGAATACTGCCTTATATGAACTGATAGCAGATTAGATATATACTACAATACATAGTATCTGAGTGAATAGGCAAAACTGCCCTGGAATCAAACCACCAATTTCACTGTCCCTGCCGCTCGTCAGATATGCGTATCTGGTAATCTTTTGTCAGTTCTTTCAAATATCTGTACTCAGGAAGTGTACTTTTGGTATAAATACCTCATTTGCAATGCCAAGTATATTGTTCAAACAGCGACTTCTGAACCAGTCCATTTATGAATCAATACTACGATTAACTATTGTGTGTCATTCAGATACTATTTATCGTACAATATTCTGTTGAAGACACTCGAGTTATGTTTTATGAAACTAGTAGCATCTAACCCACGTAGGCAACATCGAATAGTTGTAATGATTCATAAGTGGACTGACCAACCACACCCGGTGTTGCAACTGGGATATTTTTGTCATATATATATATATATATATATATATATATATGACCATCGGAAAAGCATAGTACCAATGCAAAAAAAACAATAATAGCAGAAAATGGTATAAGTGACCGTTGTTTGTACATAATTCCAGTAGAAGAGGTTAAATCGTGAAGATCGTGAAGACGAGGCGAAATGATTTGCTTAGGAATCTACGGATAATATGGATAGATAATGCCCCCAGTTGTGTAAGTCTATCTTTCGATTTGTTCCCTAGCATCCTCTGATAGAATGTAACCCACACCCATTTTGCAGTGAGAATACGCCAGAAGTCCGTGTAGTTTAAAAGGAGACTTCATACATTAGTGAGGTATCACTCAATGGAAGCTGATTAATCATCGATCATTGCGTGACCTGTTACCCACTTATTTATTTCGCATGCGGACACAGAAATCACCCTCCTTGAAGTGAAGATTTATTCCTGTTTAACGGAACTGCTAAAGCTCAGTGCAATATTGCGTGGAATGGTAAATGTTGTTTAAACCAGTCATCTGATCCACCGAGAGTACTTAGATGAGTGTGGTGGCAACAAGCCAGAGTTATCAAAACCCGTTATTTAACTGCTCGCGATCTGATCCGGAAGTGATGTCACCCGGTCCTTCAACCGCGGGAAGCTGTCAGACCTATCAGATACATGGCTGAGGCGAGTGGATTTTGGCAATGCACAGTAATATGGAGATTTGGAAGGGGAAATACGATGGGTCGAATGAACCCCTAATGGGGATGTAAAGACTGAGAAGTTACATTTAACCTTTACAGAAAAGTAACAAAAAATACTACAAGCAGAGTCGGACGGCTTCTGCTCACTGGCTAATATTACTAGAGTTAGTTAGTCAGTGGCTATGGTAAATAAATATCGTGGGATAACAACGCCAGGCTGCATTGATCTCGATTATTGCTCGAGTACCAAACTGCACAGACGAATTGCCTTTCTCACTCTCTTGGTCGATCTGCTCATCCGATCTCAATCAGATACAAAACATTGAGAATTTCATGAGTAGAACAATAAAAGTATAATCCAAATCTAATGAATCTGAGAGAGGCTTCGACGGTAATGGATATTGTAAGCAGGCCCCGCGGGCCATATTATCACAAATGTGACTTTGAAAGTTGAAGAAGTTATTGCACGCGGAGACAACGATGCGACTTACTAACCAATACGTGGATGGTTCATCTCAAACGGGTACAAAGAACTTCCAGGGATTGTAACGTAACATTTATACAAAAGATTCCATCTGAAAAAAATAGATCTCTGCAATTACATTTTGCCTACTAGAATATCTACTATATCTGTATAAAGACGATTTTGAATAATTTCTGTGTAATACTATAATTAGTGAAATCTGCTTTAAGAAAGAATTCGAAGCTGTAAATGGGACTTTCCGATTGAGGAGGGCGTTTAATGGAATGACTTTAAAATCTTCGATACTCCGGCTGTCTTTCAGTTAACGAATTTTACATCCGGTTGAATAAAGAAAAATGAAATATCCCGTAATATGAGAACATATTTCAATAAATAATCTTCAGTCTCGTTTTACTTCCAATCAGATTTGGCATTGGATCAGTTTAGCGGGCATGGATAAAACTTTAGTTTAAAATTAGCTTATGGTTAGAGTGATACTTCTGTGAGAAACTTACAAATAACAATCTCCCTGGTCCAATGAATCGTTGCAATCGAATCCCGAAGAGACCGTTCAGTTGACTGGCGAAGACGTGAATAGCAGCTCCGCACGTGAATCCACCGAGTATAGCCGGTGATATGTAAACCACCAATAAACCGAGATGAAAAAGTCCCATGATAAACTATCGGGGAGGAAAAACCATGCGTAACATGAAAAGCAAAGCGGCTTAACTGAAAAGAAAACATACAATATTATTACGTCCGGTTAGACACACTGATGCTTTGTCCCCAGGTCTGAAAATACCAATTCGACACTGTGAAACAGTTGGTAAAATCAATTATTATTTCATTTTGCTTTGCGCGAATCGCCATTATTATATACGCGGTATGTCATCTCAAAGGCTAATTGGAGACGGAAGTTAGAGAAGTCCACTAATTCCAAAAGCAGCAATAAGGCGGCTCAGGGAAGCTAATCTCGTTTCGATAATATATGTATTGTCGCATCCACCTGTCACTTTTGATTGTGTATGAAAACAGCAGACCAAAACTACAGTCATCTAAAACAACTGAAAGAGATTAATCGCATAAGAAACTTCGTGAAAAAGTAGAACTAGAAGTGAATCAACCATTCTGAATGTAATTGTAACTGGGAAATAGAAAGAACAGATATAACGGCGAATTCATAAGAAGAAAGCCTGAAATGGGTAAAATTCGGAATCCCATATATTTTCTCACTAACCCACGAAAGTAACAATCTAAATTTCAGGGTCTGTAGCGCACGCTCGGTAGAAACCTTAGAAAATTAGTTAACATTCATTCACCAACGAAATGCTGCAAGACAAGGACTATACTGAGGAATTTATCGTTAAAAATATACCCAGTAACCTCCAGTTTAGACACCGGTTGGCGTACATTCCGAAGTAGGAATTATTGATTAGAAAATCGTCCGAAGGAAATGCTCAATCTGAAACACTGGGAATAGACTCGCATTCAGTTTCACTTGGAATTTCAGAGTCAGACTTATGACAGAGAACCGCATAACCAAAGTTCACATCCCAACTTTGTGTACTCCACATAAAGCGCAATGAAAAACTGAGGATGACAAACGGATGACTGACGTAAGCACAATTCATCTAATGCGGATTATACAGAGTAGTTTCAGTTCAAACTGCCAAACGAATCAGGGAACAACCACTGTCATGAAGAATTTTTCAAGAGTGGTAGCAGAACGCTGAACAGCCAGTTTAGTATTGCTTAGATTTGCATCTTTTAGTTTTACAGAAACCCATAAAACGAAATAAATTCTCTCAGACCGTAAGTTACGTTATTTCTAGAGCCTGAAAAGCTACGCAACATTGAGTATAGTACCCAAGAGTTCTCAGGGACTCATCTGAATCACATTTTAACGGGATCAAACAGCTCCTTGAAAAAAGAAACATCATGTTCCACGATGTGGCAAATTATACTTTTGACAATAAATTATTGTTTGGGTTACAATAAATGATGTAGTCATGTAACAGAGAGATGTTCACCTGAATAATTCCAACAACGACTGTGACCGTGATTGCCACCTCCAGGCGATAATCATCCACTGCTGTCTGGGAGTTTGTCATCGTCTGATTGCTAAGGGTAAATGTCTCCGCTAATCGATCCACAGGTTCGGCAACCAGTAAAGACATCACAGAAAATGTACCTGATGTAGACAGAACGGTTAAAAGCAAGTTTCCACTTTAAAGTATCAGAAGTACCCAAAATCGATGTTAAGAGAAATCTGATGGGCTAATCCTAGACGATATCTAGGAAGTTGGAAAAACAACAGGTGAACAATAAAGTAGAAGATGATGACATTATGTGCCAAGTATACAAGTAGATGGATTCTTCTCTGAAACAAATTCTATTTCATATTCGTAAAGTAGAACTGGCCGCATAATAAAACACTATCACCTTCACCGGTTTTTGAGAAAGGTAACACGTCTATTCTACAGCTGTTTCAGCCTCGTATTCAAAGATCGCGCCTATCAATTGATATGCCTCTTTTACTGATTCCGAATCATGTCACCCCAGAAGAAAGTCTGCGAAATGCCAAAAGTACATCCTAAATAAATCCAGACACTCGCATGATGTCAAAATGCACCTAAAATCCCGTAAATAACCAACAAAATTGGGCAGTGAATAGGGCATTCTTTTGCCCCTATTCTGTTGCCACAATGGATATTAATATGATCATATTTCACAGGCATTGAAGTCTAGACTGTGCCAAACGACCCATGAAGCAATAATCTTTATAACAAAGAATAAGTCCACGGGAGCTTGGATAAAAATAGAACCGCCAATTCATTTTGGAAACCTAAGTGAATCAATGTGGGCCGCAATCAGATCACAGTTTGGTTCACATATTCGCGGAGTTATTTCTCATATATATATATATATGAACCGACAAACGATTACCGGATAAGCATGCCTGACGAGCGCCAAGAACCGCAGAAGCGGTCGTGTACTTCCAGGGAAATTTTTTCTATTCATTCATATACTACTTAATACGAAATATATATAACACCAATCTTTTTAGATACGACCCCAAAATAATCATGGGTCGAAGGAGCAATACAGAAATCTGATAATGGAGAAAAAAAAACAGTCGATGTTTAGGATAACAACGTTTTTGTTTCTTTACTGTACACGATTTTTACTTTTGGGTTTGAATACAGAAAGGGTCCATTCACACCACTGAGTTCGGTTCAAAGCCATTTCCGCAGTGTCTTCAGCCAAAGTCAATCTGAATCTTTGGGGCTTCCACCGCGGAGCCGGAAAGCCTCGACGGAAGCAAAATCCGAGCAAAATCTCTTCAATTCGCAACGGCAAGTCATAGACTGTCCAATTTGTTTCGTCCAGGCCGAACTAATGTCTGCAAATAGCACACTGTATCATAGACATAGGCCTTCGTAGGACGCACCCCATCCACCTCAGGTGATGTAGTGAAATGGGTTTACTTAGTGCAACACTATCTGACCCTAGCACACGTTGACTGTCATCACCGTTACTCACACGATGCTCCCACCATCCGCCGGCGGTGCTGCACAGTCNGTTGGGCCTGATCTGCTCGTAAAGGCCATGTTTCGTTGCCGTATTGTAACACACCCTTTAAGATAAAAGGGATAGGTCACGTCAGCACAAAGATGCCGCAGATTACCAAACGGTAATCTAGCTTTGATTACGCGTTGAGAGGTTTCCCCGCCTACACCTCGACTAGGAGTTACGCAATTCCTGAGGAAGACGAAGCTTTCGACTATTTCCAGAGTGGTTACCCAACGAACGTGTAGGAACAGATTCCGTAACCGCAGTTGAGTTGAACGCTTTGACAGTCTCTGAAGGCTCATTTTGGTATGTTGTTCCAATTGCAAATCCCAACTATTTTAATGAAAACGCACTATCATTTGGTTGTGACTTGACAGTGCAAACACACCCCGAGTTGCCTTACGATTCGAGGTTTGTACTTATTTTATATTAATCATCCGTTGCCTATAATAGTACTGCATTTCAAGACAATCTCGTCTTCTGTTGACTTCGGGATTTGTGCGTCACTCGATCGTTAGGACGGTTTTCCAGTGTGCAATCCACATCCTTTCTCCAGAGATCATGCACAGGTGTTTACACTTTCAGAGTAATTCCTCCGTGGACTAATAGACGACAGAGAATGGGCACATAATAGCATTTATATACATCCTATTTTAAAAATTGCACTTTAGGTCTAGAACACCATGTGAAGTAAAATTTTTAAATGCAATTTGCCGTTTATCTACCACCTCTAGCCATGAGTATTTGTTGCACTAGAGATTATTTTCATAACTTATCTCTAAAGAGAGTCGCGTGCACATGATGTGTTTACAGATGAAAGCAAAAAATCGTCAAACCTACCGATAGAAATATGCCGAGATGTGCCAAATAAGATATAAACCATTGCAGGAAACAATGATGTGTAGATTCCATTGATTGGCTTCAAACCAGCTAGCTGTCCATATGCCATACCTTTGAAAACGTTATTTTCCTCATGAGCTTTTGTGTGATTACCTTGAGGGACATGAAGACTTGAAACAGTTAATCCAGCAAGCACATCGGACAGCAAAAGCCGCTTATCATACACCGTAGTCATCAGTGAACACAGGGGAAAAATTGATCTCAGGAAGGTTCCAAAATCAAATTGTTTCAGTCGTTTTCGGAGACTGCCAAAAAGCGCCAGTTGATTTCTTTGTCCTTTTTGTGGGCAGGTTAACAACAATTCGTGATTGTTCATCACTTTTCGTCGCACAAACATCTCTATCTCATCACTGTCTGCTTTATCGCCCGACATCTAAAACAAAAGACTCGTGCGTTAAAATTTATTATATTAAACCGTAAAGTCCTGTAAGTATGCATTAGGTGACATTTACTAACAATACCTACACGACTGTTTCACTAAACATCCCGCCTATACTATTATGGGCTGTATTTCACACAAGTCTAGATCCGAGCTCTGCGCCCGACAAATCATGGAAATTTTCTTCCTCTTCATTACCATCATCGTACAGCGAGATATAGTGAAGCGAACTTCGCCGATCGCCGCCAGCCTGACAATGTATACAAATTAAGTGATAAAGTCCAAGGTGTAGCGGACGTAACTGGAGGGAGACAAAGAAAGTGAACCTCTATGATCAACACAAAGAGTACAAAAAACAACTGTACATACATACCTCTTAAAACACTCAGATCTCATTAGAAATGACAAGAACATCACTGTTGTTGGTTCGCTGTCCTATCCTTCAGTGTCTCCAACCAGCCAGCTGCAGTCTTTTTGACCCCAACCTGGAAGACACCTACTATACATAATCGCACTGTACGTTCCTTCAAGGCTCCTTTCCACGTCATCAGTTGAGCTCCACTTGGCTTATGCCAACCTGGGATAAAAACTGCGATGCGGTAGATGATATCTGAGCATGCGCAGTGTCCTAAACAGCGAAGCCTATTAATCTGAATTCAATGGCACAACGAATTCTCCATCGAATCATTACCAAATACGCGACGACTTACGACTTCAGAATTACTTACATGCTCGCTCCATCCAACTTGTGCAAAACTACGTAAACATCGGCAGTCGAAGACTTCTAGACGATGATTATCTCCTGCCAGCAGAATAAGGGACTCACAACCGTAAAGCTGAACTGACCGCACACTGGTGCAGTACATGCAACCTTTCAGTTTCAAGGTATCCTCACTTGTGCATCAAAGGTGTTTCAGTCCTATGTAAGCTGCTCGTACCTCGAAAACACGGGCGGTTACTTCGTTGCCTATGCTACCGTCATCTGTCACGCAGCTACCTAACTAAGTAGGAGAACCATTACACCGTAACTAATTCTTGGCTATCAAGAATCAGCACCGGATCAGACGATACTCAATCTTGTAGCAATAAGAACACAATGTAGGCGAACATACGTTTTCGGTTAATTCTCTTTCAAGCCTTTACAATCACATTTGTATGAAACAATTTCAGTTGGGTCAAAAAGAAAGGTAGATGAGTCATGTATTTGATAATGGGACCGAGAGAACTCCAAGTTTGTTTGGATTACGGAACCATTGGATAAAGTAACATTGTGTTCTTAATCAATGGGTATATTTCGTGCGTTGAAGCATTACTTTGCACTTCGAAGTTGTAAAGCGCATACCAAATGAAGTTACAGAACTTGAAAGTCTGTCAAGAGCGCTTTGCGTATCCTCCATGCATTCTAACGGACAAACGATGTCGTCAGAGTAAATCGTACAGCTTTTCTCCAGCTGCCCATTGAATGCCAACATTCTAGAGACCAGTTAATGCGGTCTCCAGTGTTTCTTCTATGACGTTCATACAGTGTTTGGACTCTCCATGACTGCCTTAATGAACATCACGATTGATCTATGCCTCGATCCCTAGTACTTCGCACCAATAAATGCATCGACGTTCCATTTAGTCCTAAAACTGCCCATGTTGTCTTTCACTGATCATTTATCTTCTAGTTAATGATCAAAGCATCCGCAAATATAATTCTGTTAAGTGCCTTGGTGTCACGCTCACCCATAATATGTCCTGATCTGCTCATTTCATCAGCGTTTCTAAAGTTCGAAAATTATCGTTTTATGCATTCGGGCTCAGGAAACTGGCCGTCTCACATAGTCTTATTATTGAATTCTTGATGGCCTGCATCCTTTCACGTTGGCTATACTGCGCCCCAGCGTTTATCCCTGATCTGACTGTAAAATATTTCACTTTGTTTTCGCGACCCCTTAAACTTTTGTTCCGTGGAGTTAATAGAGTTGTTTTGGTTGAGTTTTTATTTTGAAGTAATTTGACGCTTGCGATACTTTTATTAGCAGGATAACACGTTATTAAGAGCACCGAGAAATCTTGAAAGCCGTGTCGAATCCCAGAACCACGTACAAATATCAACTCCTTCCTACGCCTACTTCGACATATAAAAACCGTGTAATTTCATATCTTGTTCGGTTACTGGTTATTTGTAAGACAAGTTTTACCCACCTCAGGGACAGATTATTGCAATATTTTTTTCTCCGTATAGAATTCGATACATTATTTTTTGTTGATCGCAATTAGTTTTATATATCCACTGTACAAGTTCGTAAATTGCGCAAACCTCACCCTTTGGGTGTCTGAAACGTTTCTTGATTTGACAGGACTTGAATTCTGGAGAGTAACCAATAGAACATTTTTCGACAATGTCTTTCTATTTTCTAATTGCACACGAAGTGATTTACAGCAAAAGGGGACCAATAGAGAGAAGAATTTACGTATAAATCCAGGAGGGAGAGAGAATTTATGAAACAAAGGGGCAGAGAATAAAAAAACCAATTGAGGAGAATAGGGGACACGTTTAAGAGAGACTGAGAGGAGAGAAGTTTTGGAAGCAGTGAAACATACAAGGTTGGCAGAACCCCATGCGGAGATTAGTCCGAGATCGGAGGCAAGAGAAGCATTAATAGCATTATGATCTTGATCGATGTTGGTATTAGCTTGACGGAGTGTCGGTTAAGAAAAAGAACAATGGAGAGTGGCATCCTCGGCAAAGCAGTGGATGGGATTAGATGTTTGGGATAAAACATCCTTGATAAATAAAAGGAAGAAGTTGGGCGAAAGTATGGAACCTTGGGGAACACCGGAGTTCAAAGGAAATGGCTGAGATAGGACCCTATCTAATCGGACGGAGATGATTCATCATCATCATCATCCTCGTACAGCGAGATACAGTGAAGCGAACTTCATTGATCACTGCCAAGATGGTTCGCTTGCTGAAGAAACAACGGAGCCACGATACCAGAGACGATTGGGATCCAAACGTGGGTAATTTAGACGGCAGACCTTCATGCCAAACGCGGTCGAAGGCCTTGGAAATGTTGAGCAAAACCATGTGTCTCTCCGTGGTTATTGATTGCAGTCAACCAGGAATGTGATGTAAGCGTCAGTAAGTCGCCCGCAGATGGACGAGAACGAAATCCATACTGACGGTCATTTAACAAACCGTCGCATTCGAGAAACTTACTCAGCTGGTCGGAGATAATTGTCTCAAACACTTTCAAAATTACAGATGTGAGAGTAATGAGACGGTAGTTGTTGGGGTCAGCAGGGTCACCGCATTTTGGGATTGGAAATATAATGGTATTCTTTCATGGAGTAGGGAAAGATTTTAGTTCGAGTGAATAACAGAAAAGGTGGCGTAGAACAGGGGCTAACTCCGGGGCACACATTTTTAGGACGATAGGTGGAATACCGTCCAGACCGGATGGTTTACAAACATCCAAATCACGAAGAGTTTGGCGGACCTTTCTGGTTGTTATTATAGGCAGAAAGGAGTGATTGTATGTATAGGAGGAGGGTTAAACAGTAGAAGCGGCAGATAAGGTAGAGTTAGAGGCAACCCGGGAAGCGAAGACCTCTGCTTTTTGTGGGGATCACAAACAAGAGCACCAGAGGAATTGCAAATGGGAGCAAAGTTGGAAGGGCAGAAATTGCAAGAAACCGCTTTAGTGAGGGACCGGAATGTTCGGTTACCGGTGGCGGAAGAAGCCAAGCACACAGCTTTTTGACAAATGAAGCGTTCTTTAGCTCCCTAAATAGTGAGCAAGCATTTGTTTCTGGCTTGCACGAAGCGGCTGTGGGATGCTGGATTGGGTGAGTGGCGCCAACGACGGAATACTGAGTTTTTAACACGTACAGCACCTTTACAAGCATGATTAAACCACTCAGAGGAACGTGATTTGTCGGGTTTGGAGAAGTTCGGAATATAAAGACACATACCTTGAAGAACAATCGCCGTGAAGTTTGAAACAGATGTGGAAAAATCAGATTTAAAACAACAATCCTTCCAGGGATAATAGGCCAGAAAGTCACAAAAGCCGTCCCAGTTGGTTGAATCGTAACGCCAAAAGGTTCGTGTGGAGTTTGGTGGTGAAATGGAGTGGGAGAAATGAGTGAGAAAGGATATAAGACAATGGTCCAATGGGCCTAATGGGGAAAGGGTGATGTTGCAGAAAGAAGAGAGAATGGATGTGAGACTGAGGTCAAGGGCGCGGTCACCAATACGATCAGGGATGAGTGTGGGGAGGTCAACTAGTTGACTTAGGTTGTTGACCACAGCAAAAGCCTCGGCTTTGCGTCCCATGAACGTAGTGTCTGAGGAGTGCTTCAGCCATTCCTTGTTGTGGACAATGAAATCTCCGACAACGGTAATTTAGCTGTTAGAATCTGCCGCTATTAGTGACAACGTTGGAAGACAGAATATCAAAAATAGAAGAATCGCTGCTGATCGGGGAGAGGTAAACAGTACAAAAATAGTGACTGAAAGAAGAAAATCGAAGTTGCAGCCACATAAGATGAAATTCACGGTTAGAGCAGTCTAAGTGTGAAAGTCTGGAAGAAGCGATAGAATGATGGATATAGGCGCAGACACCAACTTTAGACAGAAAAAAAGAATGGAGGAAGTAATTGGGGAACTGAAGATGAGTAGTGTCTGACGAGGGGGAGATTTGTGTCTCCGTCAAAAATNGTCAAAAATTAAGCCAAGGGGGACGGAGACTGAAGAAAGTGGTGTACAGAAATAATGTTTTTATTTAAATTACGAATGTTGGTGA